AAGCAAGGTCAAGGGATGGCTCTGGAAGAGGTATTATAATAATAAGTCGTATATTTAGCTCATAAACCCTGACTCAGTTGAGGGATGAAACAAGAACAGGGATGTTCAAGTTGCACAATACTTCTCTGTGAGTTAACAGCTTAATTTGCCTATTCATGCGAATGAGACAAGAAAACATTCCCAAGGTGGCGGAGGAGGAATTGAATTACCTCCACCAGCAAGTTCTGTCACAGCCAAATTTTCTGTGACTTCAGAACCCACAGCAAAGCTCCAAAAAAACAACTTCTCCAGAGCTGGGCAACATTTTAAATTATCCTGTTCCAGGTCAGCCTCAGAAATCAGTTAAATTATCCAGCAGCTTTCTCTAAAGGAATGAGGTTAGAAAAAGCTTTGTTCTCTGCTAGCCAACTTGTTGATTCATTTTTTAATAAGGAGCATAATTATTATAAACTGTTTGGGACAGATATATAGAACAGATGCCCCAGCATCTGATTTGTAGGTTGTTCATTTCCTACTATTACATTAATAGGAAAATTTAGCATTAGAAATTGGGATTTTTTCCACATGCGCCACTTCAGCTAGCCAAAGAATAAAAATTAAGATCTGGGACCTAAAACTACCTGGAAATTTATCACCACCTTCCCCCAGCATCCACAACTGTGGGATCAGGGACCTCGGTGAGGACATCCCTGCCTGTTCCCTGATTGTTCTCAGGAACTTGAAAGGCAATTCACAAAACAGCCTTTAGAGCTCATACAGATAAAAGGAGAAAAATGTGTGAAACAAGGAAAAGGTCTCAAGACCAACTGCTTTTTAGGCCAGAAGAGAGAAGACCATTGCATCCAGTTTACTAAGTGAAACAAAGATTTGAATTCATCTCTTGGGATGCCTTCCCAAAAATCTATGGGGTTTTTTTCTTTTTCTTTGGGGTTTTTTTTTTGTTACTTTTTAAAAAGGAATCCCTCACTCTTTCTAGGACCTGGTCCTGGCAGAGCCCAGCTCCTCACAGCCCCAGTGGTCTTGCCCATTTTTTGGCAGCACTCAGGGGCTCGCTGGAGGAGGAGGAGGGCAGAGCTGAGTGAGGAGCTGCCTTGGGTTCCCACCCTGCATCATTGCTGGGCTACTGCTCTCTAACAAAGACACACGAGCCAAGTGCCATGTGCCAGATGGGTACAGCTCCGTGCTCAGCCCATCTATCTGCACAGTGTGCTGGATTCTTTGTTTAGTGGATCACAGGAGGTTTTCTGCCCTCATTTACTGGGTTTGCTGCAACAGCATCCCAACCAAGGAGGTGCTTCCACGGCGCTCACCGTCCTCACTCTGCCCTCCAGCTCCCCACAGGGCTTTGTGGACTCAGTTCCATTTAACTGCCATCAATTAATCTGTTGCTCATTTGATGAGGATTACTGAGGACTGACCTGGCAAAGTGTGCACTGTCACTACCCCGAGACACGTGTTCAGCTGCCCAAGGCAAACCTTTAACAGGATTGTGAGCTTTAGGCGTGTTATAAATACCTGCTCATCACTGCACTGGGCTGAACTCTTACTGGGGACGTACAAGATGTTCACTGTCACTTTGTCACTAAGGGTACACAGGTATTAGCAGTCTCTGCAGAAAGGAAAACACATTAGACACTGAACAGAAATATTAACTGAGTTTATCAAGCTATTTTGCACTTTAGATACAGAACATTGGTTGATATACCCCAACTGCAACACAACTGTCTCCAGACAGTCCTGAAGTATGTGATTTAGTTTCATTGCAGGGAGCTTTTTTGTCCAACTACCTCAACACAGCTTCACAATGAACTATGCAAAAATCACCTTCTCTCTATAAAGAGACAAAATTGTGGGGTTTTTCTACATATTGCATAATCTTGCATTGAATAGCCTAAGTTTGAGACTGCTGGAGGTGTAGTTCTGGCTTTACAATCAGCATCCACTTAGAGTTACATTACTACCACATTGGTTTTTCTTGCTATTTTCTCTTTCTGTCTGTAACTATCCCCACAGTTCTCAGCAGCAGCATCTACTAAAATACAACTTCTCCTTTCTGCAGAGGTGCCTTTTCAGAAGTTTTTCTAGTGAAGCAAAGAAGCACTGGCAAGCTCTTTGCTCTGAAATGCATCAAGAAGTCTCCTCTCACGAGGGAGAGCAACTTGGAGAATGAAATAGCAGTGTTGAAAAAGTGAGTACATACACATTGTAAAGTAGAACAAATGTCCTTTCCCAAGATGTGCGGCTCTACAGCAAGAATAATATAAAGAAATAAGTATTTCTTTTTAAAAAATATATAGATATTACTGTGAATTAGTAGATTAGTAAAGTTTCTTCTCTCATCCCCCTGCTGGGTTTGTAACCCCAACAGCTGTACTGCCCCAGATGTGTGGAAGGAAATAGATGAAGCAGAGCAGGACTCAGGGCAAGGAGAACCAGAGTTAATGCTTTTGCAGTCCAAGTAACACACCCGATGCAGAGCAGGCAGCTGCTTAAAACCGAAGGGTCTGGTCCTCCACTGCTGGTGCCCAGGGCTCTGAAGGGAGTTTGCAGCCAAGGATCTTCTGCCACGCAGGGCGAGCGAGATCAGCCGCAGAGCAGCCCAGTGAACTTCCACCGGAGATTAAAGCAAGACAACTGTTGGGTTTTCCACTTGAAAAGCCACTTTGTCCTCGCCAGGTTTGTTTCTGACCCGCATTTATCTTTACAGAATAAAGCATGAAAACATTGTGAGTTTAGAAGATATTTACGAGAGCACAACCCACTTCTACCTGGTCATGCAGCTGTAAGTACCAGCAGGGCCACTTCTTGGTGGGCCACAGAGGAGGAAGAGTGGCAGGACCAGGGTGATGCACTGTATTTCAGCACCCACATAGACGAGCTCCCCACACAAGAGCCACTCAATCACTTCCCACTAACGAGATGAAAGCCGCAGGGTTTGACCTAACCCGGACACTTCTCGTGCTGTCTTGGCCTATGCTCATTTTAGCAGCAAGTTTTTAAACCAAACTCAAGATCTATTTATGCAAATTAAATCATCACAGTTTAGCAGGGCAGAGACAGAAGTATTTCTAATTAAAGCTGTGCCACGCAGGGTTTCTAGAAATGAAAACAGGCGACACGTCAGCAGAGAAAGCAGCTCGTTGTGGGCATCAGCTCTGAGCACCCGGCTGCTACTGCCAACTTGCAAATCTAGCTGAAGGAAGCAATCACAGAAAAACACACACCCGCCCGTGTAGTGGAGCCTGGAGATGGTCCTGCCCGCGGAACCGGGCGCCTGTGGCTCAGACCTGCCGGGAGTTGCCTCGGAGCCTTTCCCAAATTCCCTAGATTCACCAGTAACACTTACTGACACCCTGAAATTGCGCTCGAGAGCATCCATCGGCCCCTCAGCCTCACAAAAGCTGCTGCCCAGGGAATGGTTCTGCTGTAGGCAGAGCTGTAAAAGGATCAGAAAGTTCTCCTGCCTCGTACATGAAAGCACAGCTAGCTTTGGTTCATTTTCTCTTCAGCTCTTTTCTTTCTGAACTACCATTTCCACAGGGTATCTGGGGGCGAGCTATTTGACCGAATTTTGGAGCGAGGAGTTTACACGGAGAAAGACGCGAGTGTGGTGATCCACCAGGTCCTGACAGCAGTGAAATACCTCCACGAAAACGGAATAGTTCACCGAGACCTGAAGGTGAGACCTGTCCCTCAGCAACGGCAGCGCCTCAGGGAGCTGACACGACTGCAGCTTTTACCTGCCCTGCCCCGTGACTTTCTGTTCTTCCTTTCCATTTTTCTACCATAAACTTCAACCTCTGACCACTCTGTGTTCACAGCCTGAAAATCTTCTTTACCTTACTCCCGATGAGAACTCCAAAATCATGATCACAGACTTTGGCTTGTCTAAAATGGAACAGAACGGCATCATGTCCACTGCCTGTGGGACTCCGGGATATGTTGGTAAGCCAAGGATCAGGAATGGGCTTGTGCTGGTGGACTGTCGGGGAAAAACGTTGTGTACGTAGAATACATTGCCTAATAGAGAGGAAAAAAATACATAATTATGTTAACAACATGCTACCCACAGATACACTGTGTGGACCACAAAGACTGGATTATGAATAAATGTAGGGACTGCAAAATCCCAGAATGTTTAAAAGTGCAAAGAAAAGGATCATTTTAGGAGCAATACATTTTAGTATTAGTCATGTATTTGTTGAAAACATTACAAAAATAATTTGAATACAATGGGATTTTGTTTAATGTCCACCAGACTGCATTGGCTTGATCCACAGCTCAGTGGTTACCACCTCAGGATGCAGGCAGGAATCGTCAGTGGTTCTTTCTAGTCAATATAGACACAAAAAGCACATCCCAGCCCAGTCCAGCTGGTAAATGGGATCTTACTGGCTGATTCTCTGCACTGGCACCTCAGAGGTCAAGCATGCAAGAAACTACGGCTTTACACAGTATCTGATAATTTATTATTGATCAGAATTTTCATGTGGTTTTGCTGTTCTGCAGCCCCTGAAGTCCTCGCCCAGAAACCATACAGCAAAGCTGTAGACTGCTGGTCCATCGGAGTCATCACCTATATCCTGTGAGTAAGAGCAAACACCATCCCACTTATATTTCCATGATTTTCCCAACTCCATCACTTCATTCGCCTCTGCAGAGGGGCAGTGCAAGCGGAGGCGATACCAGACCTCCCATTTTGCTGCGGGAATGCAGCAGTGGTGTATTCAGTAAAGCACAGAAATGACAGGGATGTGGGGAAGCGAGTACTGGAGATGAAAGGAATCACATTTTCTCTATTATGTGCCTCCTCCTAGGCTTTGTTTTTTTTCAGTTGCCTACAAATACCATTCCATCTTCCTCGGTACTTTTTGTTTCCTTTCCTCCCACTCCAGGCAGTTATGTACCAGCTGCGGCTTTGTCCTTTCGCTGCTGTAGTTCAGTTTTTAACTCTTTTCTGCAGCTTTCCCGATACACTGAGGTGTGAGGGACAGTTGGGTGGATAGAGCAGCCTCCTCTGTTACTCACTGGCTGGCGGTGGCTGGGCTGCAGAGGAGCCTGTGGATGGCATTGCTGAAGGACTGCTGGCTCTCTGCTCTCTTCCAGGCTGTGTGGGTATCCTCCTTTCTATGAAGAGACCGAATCCAAACTGTTTGAAAAGATTAAAGAAGGCTACTACGAGTTTGAGTCTCCGTTTTGGGACGATATCTCCGAGTCAGGTAAAGCTCCAGTGCTGGGAAGCATCACGCTCCCTCCCAGAAGCTGCAATCCAGCTGTGACCCAACAGGCACCAGCCAAACCCCCACATGCCCCCAGCACCCCCAAACACCCTGCGCTTGCCTCAGCAGGATGGGAAAGGATGGAGGGTTCAACTGAGTCACTCAGTTTGGGGTACTCTGGATCCTGCCTGGATTGCAGCATCCTCAGCTGAAGCCTCTGTTAACGTAACTCTGATTTTCACAATTAGTGAGCTCAGAGCAGGCTTAGGTTTCCCTTGGAAACAGGGGAACTCCAGGATTTTTTTCCACCTTGTTTTGCTGGTTTGAGGTTTTGGTTTTGTTGTTTTTTGTTTTTTTTTCTTTTCCTCTTTTCTTCCCATCAAGTCACATTTCCTTACAGCAACACAGCGAGCTGTGTCAGCCACCGTTGCACTCTTCCCCCAGACTAACCCACTTGTGGAGCTCGCCTGCAGGCAACATCTTAGCAGCATATTTTGAACATCAGTCTTTACACATCCCGACAAAACTAGCAGGAGGTTTGTTAGGGCTTAATAACAAATACTGCAATCCTCCCTGCAAAAAAAAAACAGAAAATGGGAGGGATGTAAGTGCTCTTTAGGGCAACTTCTAAATCTGCTCAGTTTACACTTTCTGATGGGTTTTTTTTAGAGTTATTTTTTAGCTGAATAATTCAACCCAAATTCACATAATTAAGTGTGAAGTTTGGTACATTCCCAGTTAGTGTTTTTTCATCTGGAGCCCTTCACTACAAACATCTCCCTTTAATGGAATAACGAAGCAGTAGGAACACCTCCTTCTCGGGGCTGCCCTTTGTGATGTTTATCCACCAGCGTTTGCCACGTCCTATTAGGATCATATCTTAGAACAAGGAGAAAATAACCTTTTCTCTCTGCTTCTTCTACCCTCTCAAACAGCCAAGGATTTCATCAGACACTTGCTGGATAAAAACCCGAACACGAGGTTTACCTGTGAAGAAGCCCTGCGGCACCCATGGTAAGAGGACTGGGGTCCCAGCAGCAGCTGGTGGCCACGGGGATCTACCAGCTCCATGTTTTGGGGGGTAGCTGAGAGCAGGGGGTGTCTCCCCAGCCCCTGTTATTAATTTTACTGTCTCTGCGTAGCCCTGGGTGTTTCTTTTGTGCATGCAAAGAATGATGAATAATTAAAGATGCAATTTGTGCATATTTGCCTCCATAAACAGTGGCAAAGAAGAAATCCCATCCCGAGCTTTTCCAAGCTTTGAAGTGTGTGTTTGTGTTACATTTTGTTGCTGTTTCTCCTTTGGGTTTAATTATTGCTGATTGAACGTACAAAGCAGTTAGTTGCCTCCAGAATGTGGAATGCCTTACAAATGCCATCTGCCTACGAGCCCATTTTCTTCTCTCCCCATCTGCAGGATTAATGGAAATACAGCCCTTCACCGTGACATATACCCATCTGTCAGCGCTCAGATTCAGAAGAACTTTGCAAAGAGCAAATGGAAGGTAAGTGCTTTGCTGGGGGGAGCCTGGAGCCATTTCACTAACAAACGCCAGTTGCAGCCATGGAGCAATAAGCAAGGCTTCAGCTGTGTGGGGAAGCACCCAAGAGCTGAGATCCTCCAAAAGGTGCCTGAAAATTGTATGCAGTTACTGTTTATAGAGTATTTGGACCAATATTCCCTCCTGCAATGCATACCGGTAGATTTACCACAACCATTGTGCTGTAGTGGCCTTGCCAAGAAAGGGGAGAGGGGGAAAAGGATTAATTGCCTTTTATACAGAGGGAGTGAAATTGGTGCACCATCAGCAGATCTTTTTTGGAAGCTTTTCCTCAGCCTTGAAGATAAATTGGTACTTCAGTTGTATCAAAATTTTAGTAAGAATTCAGGGGGAGCGAGGAATGCCACAGGAACCACGTGTACAACAGCATTTTTAGATGCTTACATTCAAAATTCAGCTCTCGCCTCCATTTCACACTGCAGGGTAATTTACAGCTGTTCCCCCAATTTCCTCGTGTCAAAGTGGCTGGAATCTTCAAAAGCATCTGCAGTTTGTACTCAATCTGCGGTGTTTACACCAGGAACGAGCACGTCCCACTTTCCACATCTTGTGCAAACAGCCACTCAGTGCTCACCAGGATGGGGCTGCCCACCTTGCACGTGTGATCACCTCAGGGAGACAGTCTGTTGGTCCCACAGCACCCACCCAGCCTGGTCTCACTAGGTGCTCACTGTAGGGTTTTTGTCTTCTTCCCCAGAGAGCCTTCAACGCCGCAGTCGTCGTGCATCACATGAAGAAGCTCCACATGAACGGTCACACAGCGGCTGACAGCACTCCCTCCGTCACACAAGTCTCAGAGGCATCCAGACCCAACACACCCACCGTGGCCACCCCATCAGCCACACCAGAGAAAGACAAGGACAGATCACTCCCTCCAGTCCCCACGCAGAGTTATCCAAATCCTCCCACTCAGCTGGAGCAAGACCCAGGAATGAGAGGGGGAAAGGTGCAAAACCACTCGGAGAACGGATCACTGCCTGCGAGCAGCAACCCAGTCCTGCCGGAGAGCTACAGCCCACCAACCAGAACATCTTGTGGCTGCAGTCCAGCCTGCATGGCCCACGAGAAAACAAAGATGTCCTTCTGCTCTGAGACAGTGCTTCTTAAAAAATCTGCAAAATCCCAGTAGGTACCCAAGTCATCAGCCATGATTTCCAACAAAGTACATGGGAATAACCATCTCTGGAAGGAGCTGCCTGGCACTTAAGGTGCCAGCCCTGGGTGGAGATAGAAAGAAGGGAGGAATAAGGAGAAAGCAAACGTTTGGACTGGCTGGATAGCGGTGCCCAGCCAAGTGTCTTCCATGCTTGTAGGAGCATGAGGTGAGGCACGCTGCCCAGGCTGCATGGCAAAGCTCGCAGTGGGCTGAGGCAGCAGTGCTGGGCTGCCTCGCTCCATCGACCTGAGCACATTGGCTTTCCAGAAACTGCAGTTGCCTGTGGTTAAAGCTGCTGCTGCCAATGCCTCAGCTGGTGCCGAGTGCCTGGCCCCTGCCTTGACTCACACCCAGCTCTGCTTTCAGCACCTGATGCTCTTTATATTAAAAACACAACTTCAATTCACCTGCAGAATGATTGTAAATATTGATATTTATCTCTTTTTTTCCCCCCCCTTCCATTTCCAAGCAGTCATTTCAAATCAGAAGTTCTTGTTCCAATGAAAACTGGTAAACACTCTTCTCACTGTGGCACCAGGCAAACGGGAGTGTGTTTGATCATGTGAGGAGGAGGCAGCCAGCGGGCTCCCCACATCGCCAGCGGTAAGTGCTCTGCAATCCCCTCACCAGCCACTTTTAATTAATCCCATTATGGCATTAAAAAAGGGAAAGGCACAAATAGCAAAGTGACTGTCCATGAAATAAATCGACTCACTGTTTTTTTTGCAACAGGAAAAGCCTTAACTAAACCATCTTTCAAGGAAGAAATCATCTTTCAGCTTCCATTAAGGCCAGTCCAGTCGCTCTGAATCCAACTTGTAGAATTACAACAGGGTTGCCCAAGGAGCGTGTGAAAGGAAGCCAAGCATGGACCTGTCATATCAAACTCCACAGTGGAACCAAACAGCTTCATCAGCTGGGATTAGGGCTTTTCAGCTGGGTCTCAGCTGTGACCATGAGCAAAGGGCTGACAACAGGCTGCTGGGCCATGGCCAAGCGTAGACAGGACATCTCTGCAGCCTGAAGGGCCGTTCCCTTCCCCAGATTCGGTCCGGGCAGGTCAGTTTAAGTTGCTCTGTTACCAGAGAGCAGAACATTGAGATGTTCACTTTGTAGGTGAGCAATGCACAATCATGAAAGTTTCATTCTGTCTGATCATAGCTGGGATTAATTCTGCACTAGCTAAATTGGTATCATTTGCACCACGTTATATATGAGCAGTGAGGAGTGCTGTTAGATCCTGCAATAAAGAACGTGCCTCAAAGGTGAGCACATGCTAGCACAGTTCTCCACAAAAGCTACACAGTGAGCTACATCCCATCATCTTCTATAACACTCTCTCCTGATGAGATTATATGAACAGAATTGCAATAGACAAAGGATTAATAGAAGAGACAAATGCAGTAAGATCTACTATGGGCTCCACAAAGGTCCCTTCCAATGATCACTCATGTAATAACCCTTATAAATAAGGCACACAAAGGGATCTAAGCTCTTCCCAACCCCAGGCCACTGCTTATTACCAGAGCACACGTTGAAGGTAGCAGGTTAGTGAAACAAAGTTCAATCCTCAATTGAAATTCTCTCTCTTGCAGAAACAGAAGGGCTGTTTTACTCTTTTCTGCACTTCAAAGCCAGATACCAACAGTGCAAGCAAGAAAGGAGGCTGTGTCCTGCCAGGAGCAGGCGGGCAGCAGCGTCTCAGAGAGGAGCGACCGACTGGTGACGAACTAGTCCCAGGAATCTATCAATGCAGTGACCTCAGGGTGTTTCTGGATCCTTAGAGCTGGGAGAAGACACTTTAGCAAGGGAAAGCCTGAGGCTCCTGCTAGCATATTCCGTGTATATTATCCATACGGCATCGCTCAATGCTGTAAGCTTTTGTTTACTCTATACTGTTTAGTTTTCCAACGCATCATAAGTGCAATGCACAATGTAAATCCTCTAAGACAAAGCCATGCAGAGTTTTACTCAGTGGCAGCTCAGTTATTTTTACAATCTGCATCCTCTCCACTCCTTGGATTTTGGTTAGTCCCAGGCTTCAGCTCTCTGAAGTTCAGCATCAACCAGCCACCCAGCCTGCGCAGTTCTCACTTCAGCTACAAACACAGAGACAACCTGCTAGCAACCTCCATATGTCTGATAACAATCAGAGTCTAAAGTTCCTGCTTCCAAGTCTGTAATTGCACAATAAATACTTGCTTAATAAAGCTGAGTTTTGTTTTGTAAAGTGCCTGTTGGTTATTCATAGAAATTTGATGTGGAAAAGGTCTATTAAGTCCTTTCTAAAGCGTTCCCCGCACATCTGCAGACCTGCTCCCTCTGGTATTATTCTGGCAAAGCGTTACATGGTAAATAAGCAGATTGTGGCAGAAAGTCAAACAAGACATTTGAGGTCACCTTTGAGTATCAGACAGCATTTCTCTTCTTTGTATAAACATAGGTATGTTGTATGGATATGATGGAGGTCAAATTCTCCATTTCTGTGATCTGGTTCTTCAAAGCAAGATCTAGGAGGGCAGCACTGAAACCACGGCAAGTTTTAAGGATTAACTGCAGTGTAGATAAGGAGCTTTAAAAAGCCCCACATAAAGGTTTTAATTTGAACAGTGAAATTCAGCTAAAAGAGCTTGAATTGGCTAAAACAGGAAAAGAAATAATGTCTTAGTTTATAAAGCCCTCTGGAAATAACCGCTTCGGGCATGTTTTTATTTGCAATGGAAGACTGATGTCTCTCCCCCTTATTCCTCCAACCATCAGGCAGCTTCAGCCAGTCCAGCCAAGGTTAGTCCTCTCCAAGGGGTTGCTCCTTTTGCTCAGTCCAGCTCTTTTCCAGAGGTACAGAAGGTACCAGAGGTACAGAAACTCAATTTGCTAAAAGTAGAGATATTAGGCACATGAGAACTCCAGCCAGAAAATGGGAATAAATACACAAGTCAGTGTCTGCAGAGGAGGAAGGCAAAGCCGCTGGGGCGCGGGCAGGGTGCTCAGGAGCAGCTCTCGTAGTAGGCGACTCGCTTGTTGATGGCATCCCGGATCCTTCCCACCTGCTCCTCCAGGCCCAACAGCCTGGTCGACTTGGACATCAAGGCCTTGTTGCTTTCCTGAATTTCCACCTCTAAAGCTGAGGAGAGCAGGAAAGGGTTATGTGATGATGGGACAGGAGAACAGCATCACAGCCATTACCCACCCCTGCAGCAGGTTGGGCTGAGCCTCCACTTCCCTCCTACATAGCTCTGGTGGGGCAAGGAAAACAAATACCCCCTCCTCCTCCTCCTGCATTCCCCCTTCTACCCCTCAAATAAAAACAACACGATCCCTTCAAACAAAGCCATGACTTTTGAATGCTTAAAAATGGAAGTGAGAGTGAGGAGGAAAATGGGCACATTGGCATGGCAGGCAGGGCATCCCTTCCTCGGTCACCCACACACCCTCGCACATTCTGAGTTTACTGGCACAGCATCTGCAGATGGAGCCCAAATCTGCACCATCTCACTCCCAAAAGTATGTTGTCTTCCTCATAATTTCTTTCCCCTCATCCTGCTGGGAATCAAAAGCCCTTCCCCAGTGTGCAAGATGATTACATTGAGTTCACAAAGAGCCTTACTTTCCATCCTGAGCATCATGGCCAAAGTTTCCTCAAACAGAGCCTGTGCCTCCAGGTCTATGCTTTGCACCCTGCTGCCCTGCTCCCCCAGAGCTGGGCTCTGCTCCATCCTTCTCTTCACCTCAGAGTACATTTCTTTCACTTGTTCAAAAGCCTGTGGAAAAGCAAATAAGCAGTGCAGGTAGGATCAAGTAAATAGTCTGGGGGAAAGGGGATTTTCCAACGTTCAATCCATTTTAAATATTAAATGGATACTGCACTAGAGCTTTGCCATGATGTTATCGTGCACACACATTCGTGATGCACTCGCAAAGATGCTGACTGACAGCTGTATGGGCTGCTCTGCCTGAGGCAGGAGACACAGCGGAGAGACGTCTCCAGCCAAAAACATTGGGATTGAGAAAGGTCCTGGAAAAATTCAGTAGTGGGACACTGCATCAGATTAATAAGGAGTGACATGACAACACACAAGCTGTGGCCTGAACAGCGAAGCCTCCTTGCCTTATCCAGAAGCGTGCCAAGACACAGCTGGCTTTGCTGCCCGATGCCAGCGGGGACACAGAGCACAGCTGTGACCGTCCTGGCTGGTGACAGGTCGGAACCCGGTACCTGCTGCGCGCTCCTGGCCTGCTCGCCCGCTGTCCCGGCCGTCTGCTGGGTGTCGGTGACCCGCAGGCGGTTCTGGTCCGCCCTGCCCTGCAGCTCCAACAGTCTCTCCATCAGCACGTCCAGCTGCCCCACGATGGACTTCACGTTCTTCTCAGCTGGACCAAGAACAGCCTCGATCTAAAAGCAGAGTGCTCCACGTTCAGAAGGAAATGGCATCCAAACCCCACTCCTCATGGTTTTTTCCTCTGTGCAGGGGTCAGCTATGCTGCCTGGCAGACACATGGCAGGAGCAGGGTGTCAGCAGGGTGTGGGGGCTGCTCCCTGTGCTGCTCAGCATGGCAGCCCCAGGGCTGGTCTCAGGGGACTCTGGCAGAGACTGCTATTGTAGTCTGGAGAAGCACACAAGCGAGGCACACCAGAAAAGAGATTTTTAGAGCAAAAGCTTCACCAGATCCCATTTCCCAGTTGTGCTGGTGCAGGACTCTACCAAGTGGGGAAGTTTCAAAGGAGCAGCGAGCAGGGCACAGCATCCTTATTTGGGAAGTCACTGCACATCACTCACTTCATCAACACGCTCCTGGATGAAGCGGAGGGAAGAGCCAGAGCCCCTGATCGCACCCTGGGCCTCCAGGAGCACCGTGTTTGCTCGTCGCAGATTCCCAACCACCTCTTCCACGTTGCCCTCCACAGCATTCGCCCGGTTCCTGGGGAAATGCAGGCAAGAGCCAGGAGTGAGAGTAGATAATTGCGCAGGCTGGAAGGCGAGGTTGCAGGGGCTAAATAAGGAAGCTTGAGAAGCAAGACAGGATTGTTACTGAGAAGGCTGCAAACTCCCTTCCCCAAAAGCCACAAACCCACACAGCTGGACTCCAGCAGGTTTCCTTTCGAGGGAAGTGTTACTTCCATTTCATACCTCTAAGCAGAGGAGACAAACTGAGAAGGGGAGAGAAAAACCTTCCTTTAAACTAGTTAGAAACATTTCTTTTCCAAATAGTGCAAGAAAAAGTATCAAAGGGAAAGCGACAACCACTGAGCCAGTTTCAATGAACACTCTTCTGCTTGTAGTGGAGCTATTCAGGTCGTGTGATACAGCCAGACTCATAGGAAGCCAGACTCCCTTGTCTCATCACTTCCAGCAGGTTAAGCAGGTGTCAGACGCTATCAAGGAGTCTGCACGCTTATCCCGCTAACCTTCTTGCTGGGATATTGCTGCAAGTCAACATGTGACAGAGCAGACGCTCCAAATTTGCAAGGACACTCTGTAGTTATTTTTTTAAGGGACCACGGGATAATCCTCCCAACTTTCACCCAGAAAACAAACAGCCCATTTAATCTCCACATGCTTTCTTG